TGATTGGATCTTAATGGCTTCACCACAGTTAATTTTAGTTATAATTATGGACTGTTCCCTGGTGATGCAGTAGTCAAAGCGATCGACTGCTAACCAAAAGGCCGGCAGTTCGAAACCACCAGCAGCTCCTCGGAGAAAGATGTGGCAGTCTGCCTCCATAGAGACTTACAGCCTTGGAAACCCTATGGGGTCACTACAAGTCAGAATTGACTTGATGGCAGTGAGTTTTGGTTGTATTCTTTCTAAAAGCCCTGTGTAGATTCTTTTAGATGACATGATAGCTATCTTGTCTCGATTTCCTTGTGACTAAGGTTACTCATCTGTAAGATTACAGGCTGGACTTACTGCAAGGGTAACTTCTGCTAACTATGAAGGAAAACGAACTGGCTTGTGTGCAAGAAATACCTCAACCTCAGACTTAACCTCTCAGGCAAATAACTGGTAGACATCCACTCTGCACCTGATACTCCAAAGATCTAAATGGTCACAACTATGCCCAACATCCAAAAACTAAAATTTCACAGATCGATCATTTCGGTTTTTATTTACCTAATACACTTTCAAAGGAATCTGGCTGAAGTCTGCCTTATAATTTTTTTTTCCCCCGGATTTTGACAGATTTCTGAAACCCAACATCATTCGTATCTGAAGCAGATAAGATATGGCTTAAGGAGAACTTTCCACCATGTCATCATGCTACCATAATACATTTTAGTAGAAAAAATAAATACAGGTCAGTAAGTCAAGTGTAACCAAGTCTTCCACTGACATCTTTTATGTTCTTAGTTTTTACCATAATTGTAGCTAACTCCACGACAATTCATGGCAGGATAAATGGAACTCAAATCCCTCCAGAAGAGATCTTTGCCATCACCCCAATCCCCGGTGGCACCAGATACACTGACCCTAGAATTCAGCTCTCACTGAAGATCCAAAAAACCAAACCAAACCCACTGCTGTCGAGTTGATTCCGACTCACAGCAAGCTCATAGGGTTTGCAAGGCTGTAAAGCTCTACTGAAGCAGACGGCCACATCTACCTCCCTGGAGCCACTGGTGGTTTCAAATCACCTCTCGGTTCATGACCGACCGCTTTCACCACTGCGCCACCAGGGCTCCTGGAAATAGTAAATAAGTATTTAGTGCTTACCAAGTTCCAAAAGTTATTTTAAAACCTTCTCTCATTTCATCCTCACAACTTTTATTATCCCAATTACACAGAGTAGAACCGAAGACTCTAAAGGACTAGGTGATGAGGGGAAGGTCACACAGTTTCTACGTGGCTTAGTCAGCTTAGGAGTCCAACCCAGATTTGCCTAATGGCAAAACTCACGCTCTCATTTATGCGATTCTCTCTTAGTTTGCCTGGTTCTATGTTACACCCAGCATTAAAGCAGAATTCAAAACCCTCAGTTCTCTCTCCTTCCCTAGAGTGTTAGAAACTTTTCCACTCATTGGATTCTAAAATGACAGCAATCTTTCCCTTCCCCTAAACCACTTTCCTCCCCTCCCCCTTTCCACACACAAAGAACTTGACTTTGTTCTTGTATTCAGAGTATCCTTTTCCCTCTTTTAACTATTTCTAGTGACGCTCCAGGTGCATTATTTCCCCAAGTCGAGAGTAAATACCAGATATCTCCGCCCCTTCCCCTTTGCTGGAAGTTGCTGATTACTGAAAGGCCTTGACTATGGATGTCAGAGCTAGAGACCAGTCGTACAGGCACACTACCTTAGATACAGCAGCCAGCTTCTTCTCAGCCTTAGGCACAAATGCTGATCAAGTGTCCACCGGAAACACTGTATCTGGAAAAACTAATACCTGGAAAGCCTGTAGCTGGACACGAATCTATCGAGGAAAACCTGAATTTACCCGCTTCTTCAGTTATATATACACAAAGTGATGACAGCCACAGTGAAATGCAAAAAACGTGATCTAATTTCACAGATTGCACTTTGAAAATAATCGGTAAAAACTAATGGAGTTATTGCTGAAGGCATCTCCTTAAAGAGCTGATTCCATGATCTATTAGCACCATTTTTAAGGGTGCCGTGACATACGAAACACACAGCTTTATTATATACTCTTAAGTATAAAACTATTTTCTCAGAATAGTTGAACATTTCTTTAGAGTCTTTCCCCAATGGTGTGCACTTGCTAATATTGTCAGGGTCCAGGTTCTAAAACCTAGGCAGTGGGGGGCGCTGCATACCATATGGAACCCTGAAATTTGCTGTAAAACAAGTATTATTTTGGTAATGAGAAAAACTAATAAAAAATAAATGACATGTACTTAGAGTGAAAGAGCAAGGATTTTTCTGCATTTGAATAGGGATGAATAAATCACATGTCTGAGCAAATACAGCTGGCCCTCGGTATCTGTGGGGGATCGGTTCCAGGACCCCTCAGATACAAAAATCCGTGGATGCTCAAGTCCCTTACATAAAATGGCGTCATTTTTGCATATAAGCTACACACGTTGTCCTGTATACTTTAAGTCATCTCTAGATGACTTATAATACCTAAAACAATGTAAATGCTATGTAAATAGCTGTTATACAGTACTGTATCATTTAGGGAATAACGACAAGATACGAGGCGAGTGATGCTCCAACATCGAGTGCAGAGAGAGACTGAGGATCTGTGAGATGGGGGAGGCTACAGCAGGGGATGCTGCACATCACTGCATTAGCATGCCTTCAGTGCAGTGCTTGGCACCATGCAAATTCAAGTTTTCCTTTTGGGAATTTTCTTCTTTTTCCCTGAATATTTTCCATCTGCCGTTGGTTGAATCCACAGATACGGAACCCACGGGTATGGAGGGCTGAGTGTATACTCCTTTTCATAACAGGAATCACACAAATTGAGTATGGTATACATATATAGATACACATACATATATACATGCATACACATACACACACACATATATACATACACATATACATACGTGCACACACATACATACGTGCACACACATACATACATGCACACACACGTGTACACACATACATACGTGCACGCACCCGCGCATACACACACATATACATGCACGCACACATATACATACACATACATATACAAACATATATACATACACACATACATACACAGACATACATACATACACACATGCATATACAACGCCAAAAAGCAAACCCATTGCCGTAAAGTCTGCTCTGACTCACAGCGATCCTAAAGGACAGAACAGAACTGCCCCATAGTGTTTCCAAGGAGCAGCTGGTGGATTCAAACTGCCGACCTTTTGGTTAGCAGCCAAGCTCTTAACCACCGTGCCACCAGGGCTCCACATACACACATACATACATACACACACACATACACACACACACATACACTCACATAGAATTATTAAATTTAAATATGCACTTAAATTTATATACTGCTACATATAATACAAGAGACAGGGGATAAGACCATTATAATCAATCCTTTTCTCTCGTCCTTTGAAATTATTCAAATAAGGTAAACCTGAGAAAACTAGAAGTGTAAGTGATGAGCTGTGGCACCCAAGGCCAAACTGGCAATAATTTATTCAACTCCATATCTCTGACCTTGAGTCAGGATAGTATACTAGAGATCTTCAGTCTTTGCTATA